TGGTGTATCGTGGCAGTTTCCTCTTTTGGCAATTTGGCGATTCGTGTGTCCCAGGGGATAGAGCGGTCCCACGGGGCAAAGTGGAAGTGGTGTATAGGTTCAATTTTGCCGCTAAGCAGGGGTGCAATAGTCCTAGCAATCGTCTGAAGTCCGTATCCGGATGAATAGCTGGATTCGGCAATTTGGCGATTCACTGGATGGTCCGGACTTAGCTTAGCTAGCCGGAAAGCGTATTTGCGTGTAGCTGTGTCTAGCCGTATTGCGGGCGGTGGGAGGCTAGCTTCCACCTCTATGGCCTGAATTGGACTAGTCCGAAAAGTGCCTAGGATTTTGCGTAGTGCCAAATTTTGGAGGTGCTGTAGGTGGTCTTTTGCGTATGCTTGGCCTTGCCACTAAATTGGTGATGCATAGTTGGACATGCTGGTAATATAAGCTAGGTATAGCTGTCTGAAAGCGGTGGGACTAAGCCCTTGTTCGCTATTAGCTAGCCTGGACATACGTCTGAATGCAGACTTAGCCTTAGCGGTGCGGATGGTGATATGCTCCTTAAATCGTAATAGAGCGTTGAAGTGAATACCAAGCCACTTAACTGTCTGCTTTGGGGGGACTATAGTCCCGTCTGGGAGTATAAGGGACGCTAGCTTAGCGCGTTCGCCTGTGCTGAAGTGAATCAGTTTAGACTTTTTCGGGTCGAATTGGATTGCGTTTTTGCTAGCTAGCTGAAAAAGCTCTTTAGCTACTAGCTGCAGTATTTTGACGTTTTTGCGAGGGCTAGTTGATGCGAAAGAGAGAGTGATATCGTCCACATAAGAGATAAATTTGACTGCACGTGACCTAAATAGGCCTTGTATATAGATTAAGAAAAGGATAGGCGAAATAGGGCTTCCTTGTGGGATTCTGGTCTAAATAGGCTGGTTTTCGTCTGATTGTCCGTCAAATAGAAGCTTAAGTGACCGCCCGCTTATAAAGGATGAGACCCACTTAATAACCGAATCGGGAAAGGCTAAATCCTTAAGAATCGTAAGTAGCCGGTTCTTGGACACGTGGTCGTATGCCCCTTTCACGTCTAGTAGAAGCGTACTAGTGATTTTGTTTCGTAGCCGATTCATATGGATATAATCCGCTAGCATAGCGCCTGCGTCTATAGCCGACTTTTTAAGTCGGCCACCGATTTAGCTAGGATGCAGCAGATTTGGTGTGGTTTCGGCTAAGTAAGCTAGTCGCTTAGCTAGGATCCTTTTACTAACTTTTCCTAGGCAATTTAGAAGTGAAATAGGTCGATAGGCGCTAGGCTGCTTATAGTCTGGTTTGTTGTTTTTACGTAGTATAGCGCAATTCGCTTGGCGCTAGCACTTCGGATGATAGCCAGTGTTTACTAGCGTCTCAAAAAGGAGTGAAATCTGGGAAGGGCATGCTAAATATGCGTGGGTAATAATGGTCTGAGTGATATAGTCCGGGCCGGGGCTAGTGGATTTGATTTCACTAGAACAGGCTTGCTTCACTTCGTCTGGTGCTAGCTTTGGCCACTGCCACTGCTCTGAGGCGGTGTATGACGTCCAATTTGGGCTAGCTGTTTTAGGAGGTGGAGGGAAGAGCGTCTGGCGGAAAAGGTTGCATTTAGCAGTGAATGTGGTTGCAAATTGGGTGGCAGAAAGCTTTAGATTTGGGACTAGCTCTGACCGCCTTGACTTCGTATAAGCTAAGGCTTTAAAAATCGATTTAGAGTCCTCTTTTTCCAAAAACTGGTTCCAGTGATCCTTTTTAGCCGTCTTGATAGCCTGAAAGTATGCATTGCGGGCGCTAGTATAGCGCTCATTTGATTGGCTGGAAAACGCTCGCTTAGAGGCCTCTCTAGCCCGATTCATGTCGCGTCGAAGTGATTTTAGTAAATCGTTCCACTAAGGCTTAGCGTGTGGCGCTAACCGGATTTGGGGTATGGCATCGTGTGCAGCGTATAAAATGGCGCTAGTATAACGTTCCGCCATATCGTCTAGACGGTCTAGGGTTGCTTCGTAGCTGCGTTTTACGTCGATTTGTTCTAAGCTTTTTAAGCTTGAATTGGAGCTTAAAATGTAGCTATAGGCCTGTAGCTCATTTTGGAGCGGTGACAGCTGGCAGAAAAGTTTTTCCCCAAATTTGGTCCAATCTGCCCGTTTTGTGTCGAAACGGGTGGTTTGTGGATCCGCTAGCCCTATTCGGGAACCGTTAATAGTAAATGTGATCCCAAAATGGTCCGAGCCTATATCATCCACTATAGCCCAGTCCTGAATGTGATTGGCTATGGATCGATGCGCTAGCGTAAGGTCGATATTCGTTGGCCTCTGCATGTGGGGGCGGTGGAAGGTGCCAATACCAGGGGTATTTAGGAGGGCTAAATCGTGGTAGTCGATCCAGTCTGCTAGCGTATTGCCTTCTTCGTCACGTGCCTCGTATAGGGGGTCCCACCACGGGTTGTGGGCATTAAAGTCCCTACAAAAGACCGAATCGAGAGGCGGTAAGAGCTGCCATAGGCACCTAGCTAGCGTATAGGTGTCCGAATCGGGTAATTGGTGCTTTTCGTTGTAAATATTATAAATCTTAATCACGTGATCTTGATCTATAACGTCTAGGACTTGGAAGTCTGAGTCGTTTGGCGAATCCGAGGCTAGGACGACCCTAGGGCGGTATGACCTGGCAATATAAGCCATTGTGCGTGGTGTGATGTCTAGGCTAGGCCTATTTAGGAAGAGTTAAGTGAATAAGGGGTGGGAAATCAATCGTATTTCGTCTGCATCGCGTATAATAAAGGGCTCTTGAACTAGTATAATGTCTATATCTAGCTCAATTGCCACTTGTAGCGCGGATTCCGTATTATAGGCGGCTGAATTCAGATTCACTTGGAGGATTTTAGTGCTAGCGTCTATTATAGAGAGGACGTAGGAGCCTTTAAGTGGATGCTCTGATAGACTTCATATAAAGCGGAGCTAGCCGCATGTGGACCTCTGCAATTGGCGCATTTGTATGTCAGGTGATCACACCTACCCTTAGCATTGCATATAGAGCATACGTGTTGTTTCGTCTGATGGGCTTCACCGCATAGCTAGCACTTAGCCTCTTTGCGGCAGTAGTGCTCTAAATGGCTATAGCCCTGGCACCTGATGCATTAGGCAGTGGGACGTGTCGTATAGTGTTTTTCGCATTGTATGGAGATGCCAGCTATGTATAGCCTATTTCGGACGGCCGCGCTAGCCTCTTTAGGCGTAGCAAATGCAATTGCCACGGATCCAGCTGTCTGTTTTAGGCGATTTTCGGCTGATGTGATCCAGTATGGCTGTCCTAAAGGGGTTAGACCCTTATTAAAAGTCCGTATTTCGTCCTTAACTAGCTCCATGCCTTCCGGATGGTTGAAAATAGAAGTGGGGATCCCGTGGGCGACGATTTTATGCCATGTGACGTCTTTCTGAGCGGTGTAGCCTGGCATTAAATGCATCTAGATGTCGGATTTAGCGAGTAGGAAGTCAGCTGAGTAAGCCTCTATGGTTGTGACTACTAGATTGGCCTGAAGGGACTTAGACACTGAAAGCACCATAGGGTCTTTCACTCCTTTACTAGCAAAAGCTCTATTTAGAGCATTTCAGGCGGTGAGAGGCTAAAAATCGTTGTTTTAGGCCATAGTATCCTTAATTAGAATCACGCGGCGGCTGGTAAGAGGCTTCTTTGTGGCTAGCTTTAGCGGTGAGGACTTTTTAGCAGAATTGACTAAAATCCAGTCCGAATCGGGG